AGGGAGCGCCGCCGCGCTTCCCAAGCGGCGCACTGCAGCAGTGCGCCACCGGGCCGGCCCATGACAATCAACTTTAATGATATGTTCTGCATTTTCTTCTTTTTCTTTCAGGGAAAACACTTTCAGTGGAAGGGGATTCCTGGGACTCTTGGTGCAGAAATGAGATGCCAGTTCAGGGCCTCTAAGTGGAAAACACAGACCTTTCATGACAAACTGACTCTACAGGCCACCGAAGCCAGTGAGGTTGACACACAGGGTCTGCCAGCTGGGCAGCCTGGCCATTCAGTTTTCTAAATTTGGATGTGAAATGGACCATGCAAACAGAATGACAAGAGGAATGAGGAGACAGCTCACCCCCAAGCCGATGGAGGCACTCTGGAAAAGTGGAATCACCCGTGGGCAGCCCCATCTTTGCACTGTCCCTGGACCCTCATCTCGCCAGGACTGTAACCAGGACGCAGTGTCAGAGACATCAGCGTCACACTCCTGAGATGCAATCACTACCTGCGGAGACAGTGCCCACCCACAGGTGCCTAGCTCCCAAAAGAGAAGCCGTGAAACCAACGCAGCATTGAAGAAAATGCCACAAACCCCCAGGTAGGACGAGCACACCGTGCAAGTGCAAAGGTGGCTTCCTTCCTGCCCTGTTTAAAAGGGAGGTTCTGGGAAGCCTCTGCCAGACTGGTGAAGTTCAGGCGAGCCTCAGAGGAACTCAAAGGACTTGCTGACCCCCAGGGTGGATGAGCCACCTGGGAAAAGAATGCAAAACCAGAGACCCAGACAGCCCTGTTTCCACGGTCCAGAACATATAAATAAGTAATTCTTAAAATAGTGGTTTTCTATTTAAGAAATGCTTCTTTTGAGTTCTAGTTCCCAACTTCACTAACAATTCAGTTTCCTGTTTCCTGCCTTCTCTCTCAGTCAAAGAGAGCAGCACCCCCAGAGAAGTCAGTGGGTGGCAGGGGCTGTGGGGAAACCTGTGGAGCCCCCTCCCCGACCCCTCCCACCCAGGCCATGAGGGTCTGGACCAGCTGCCCCCAGGCCCAGCCCCAGGCACCTGGTCCCTTGGCCGGGATGTTTCTTGGCCACAGTATCCCCAGGGGAGCATCTTCAGGAGCCATCCTGGCACTGTTTTTTAAACTGCATTCTTCAAAACCACAAAATAAGGGCTCACGAAATGAACAGATCTTTAAGAAATGATTTTACAATTCCTCCCTCTTTTCTCTTAAATTTCAACTCATAATGGTAAAATGTTTTTTAAAATGCTATAAACAGACATGGTATACCCACAACCACCCTGCCTGGACAGATGTTAACATGTTACCACGTTTGCTTCAGATGGCTCTTTTCTGGAAAGCTATCAGCTCCAGCCCTCCCAGCCCCAGGAGTGTAGAATGAAGCTGCTCTCTGTCCCCCAAGCCATTTTGCATTCTTACTTCACATGTGTGCAACCATGAACACGGTCTATTATTATTTGGTGTCTTTATTATTTACATAAAGGTACCCTTTCACAACTCTATTCTCCCTCGACATGTTTTCTGAAATGCATCTGGGTGAAAACACAAATCTGGTGAGCTTCCTTAACTGCTGCCTGGCGTTCTCTGCTTCATTCATCCATTCCTGCCCAGAAGGACACTTAGGATACTTCCATGTTTTTGCAATCATAAACTGGGCCACGATGAATATCACAGAACCCCCCAAAAGAGGGGGGCAGATAAATACTATTGCATCCCTCATTAATATGGGGCTCATGTGCCACTTGTGGGCTTCTACTTGGGCCTGAGCAAAGGTGGAGGATCAGCTGAAACCTTTTCTGGGAGATTTAGATCCCCAAACTGGGTGGTTCAGTCCTTGGTATCAATCAAAGCAGACTGTTCCCCACGTCCAGGTGTATCTGCCCTGCTGGGCTCTGGCCGTGTTTGGAGCAGCAGCTCCTCTGAGCACCTGTGAAATGACCCTCGGTGGGCTTCTCCATCAACCACATGGGTATCCCCTCAACTCCCCAGATGCATGGCCAGCAGAGAGGTGACCCGGAGAATGGAAGAGACAAAGAATCCCACCTCTGTGAACAGCAAAGCCTGGAAAGCCCAGCCTCATTCACCAAAAAAGGCCTGGGAGGCCCATTTTCCTTCGGAAGAAACTTTAATTCCCCGAGGCCCCTCAGCTCGTAACTGCCAAAGGCTTGAACACAGACTGGAGGGAACACACTCGTGCACTCTGGTCAGCCCTGTCCACTCCCCCACTGAACAACTCGCCCTTCTCTTCCATCTTCTGCATCCTTTCAAACAAAGCCCAGTCCCTTCTTCTCTCTTAGCACTTAATGGCATTAAAAGGCACTGGCTTCTTCTGTCTGTAAAAATAAAACAGTTTTCTATTCTAATCCAGAAGTCAGCTCTGGAGGGTTTAACTGAAGCTGCTGGCACAGATCTTAAATAGCCTCACATTTGCATCCCCCTGCCTCCAGCCCATCATCAACAAACACTGGTTTAGCACTTATGCATTAGGGACTGTGCTAGGTTCTGGGGACATAGAAAGCCCCCCAGCACTCAGGCCAGGTGAGAGAAACAAAAACACAAACACATTACAGCTGTCACTTCCTGTGGGGGCTGAGGGCTGGGGCCTTTGTCCATCTCTTGCTCCATCCTCACCCATCCCCTGTGAGGTCAGAACCGCAGTTGACTTCTTTTTCCAGATAAGGGAACTAGAGACACTAAGTAACTTTGCCCAAGATCAAACAGCTAGGAAGAGGTGATGCCAGCATGCAAATTCCTATCCCATCCATCCGCATTAAACTCAGACTCCTAATCACTGCTCTCCATGACAGCCCGGGCTTCTCATGGGGTGCAGAGATCTGTGTGTCTCCTCCAAGTGGAGCGCAGCATCTCCCTCCCTTCCTGCCTACCTCTCTATGTCTTTCTCTCTCTGTCTCTCTGTTTCTCTCTCCCTCTGTGCCCTGGCTGGCCTCTGAGCTGGGCGTTGGAGACCTGAGTATTTAGGGTGGGTACCCCCAGCTCTCTTCAGGCAAACACCCAGAAAGGAGTCCCAGACAGCAGGGCCAAGGCTGGCCGATGGTGCTGGGTCAGGATGGTTTCCAGGGAACTGACCATCTGGGGTCTCAGCTCCCACCTGGCCCATGGCTCAGAGATCACTACCCTTTGGAAGTCCTCACCCCACCCACTCCCCACCCTGGTGCCTCTCCCTCCTCAGAGCCTCAGTTCTTGTGCTCCTCATCCTGCTGGTGAAGGCTCCTCACTTCCTCCGTCTCGGCTGCCTGGGAGTTCTGAGGACGGAGACCACACACTCACTGTAGTGTGCTTGCTGCACGGTGCCTGGCCCATCTAACCACCAGCAGGTCCTCAGTACAATATGGATGGACAGGTGGATGGATGGGTGGGCGAGTGGGTGCAAGGAGAGAAGGAAGGAGGAAGGGAGGAAGGAAAGACAGATGGACAGAAAGAAGGAAGGGAAGAAGAAAAAACGGATGGCTGGGTGGATAGACTGAAGGATGGCACGGCCTTTCTAGGGGTATTTGCAGCAAGTGACAACAGCGGTTCAAGTGCCCACTCTTTGCACCATCAGTTCCACATCTAGGCACATAAAGAAATTATTAGACAAATATGAAAAGATTAATGCATAATGGTACCACTGAAGTACTGTTTACATTAGACCAAAAAAAAAAAAAAAAGAACAATAGAGGATTTCTTAAATAAATCACAGAATTTCTAAATAACATTATGTAGTCATTAAAAATAGTGACATAGACACATATGACAAGAAAGGAGGATATTCACAATGTTACCAGTGAGAAGAAGTGGTTGATAAAACAGTACAATTTGAAAAAAATAAATGAATAACCTAGAGACGAAATACCATAATACTAACAGCAACTGTCAGGGTGGAAAAAGGATGTGGGTTGAGTCATTTTAATGCGGCTTTTGTTCCCTTTTTGTTTGATTATTTGTATTTACTTGCATTTTCTATTATCAACTCATACATCTGTGTAATTTTTTTTTTAATGAGGCCGTTCATCTTTGGGGAAAATGCCATATCCACCCTTAAAGGCAGAGTTGAGGCTCTTAACATTTTTAAAGCATCCAAAAAAGGCAAAATCTAGACTTGAAAATGTTAAAGCATGCTTTTCCAAGTGTGGTGCTGACTCCAAAGCCATAACGCATAAAGATGCATCAGAGACAGAAACCGACAGCTTTATTCACAGCCAGACACACTTTCTAAAGCACCAAACAGATGTGCCAAGATGTACCTCCAAAAATTACATATGCTAAACCTTGTTGCCTCTCATCAAAACAGCTGAAAGTGAGCAATTTGGAAAAACATTTTGATCTCTAAAAGATTAAATATGCTCCAATACGTGCAGGGAGGGGCCCAGGCTCACCCAGCGTGGGGCCCCACTGCCCGGCGTGGCACACCAAGGGTAAAACAG